TCAATGGCTCTATGATCCATGAGGTCCCTTCCAACCCAACCATTCTACAGCTCTATGATCATTAAGGTCCCTCCCAATCCAACCATTCTACAGCTCTATGATCACTAAGGTCCCTTCCAACCCAACCACTCCATGGATCAATGATCTGTAAGATCCCTTCCAACCCAAACATACCATAGTTCTTTGCTCTTTAAAGACCCTTTCAGTCTAAGCCATCCCAAGATCCTACAAATGCACGGGCTGGATCCCACCAGAAACAGAAGCAGGATCTTGACCACACATCACAGCTAGAAAACCACAACACACATAGAAATCTCCCTTCAGACATCCAGGATTGGCCATTTCAGCCGAACCCGCAGCATCAGGCTGCTCAGACAGCCACACAGGAGTACCAGGCCAGGGGTTTTGCATGGAACTGGCAGGCCAGGAGCTGTGCAAACAAAGGCTGAGCCTAGAAACCTGCCCAAGTGTCAGATCGATCAGTGTGGGCTGATCCCAGCCTTTTGGGAACAAATCCCCTGCCAAAAATAGTGCCAATTCTGGCAGAAAGAAGCAGTTTCTAATCTAAGCTTTCAATATTCTTGATGTTAAAAAAAAAAAAAAGTTAAATTTCAGCATTACAGCAATAAGCAAAAGCTTCTGCATCTGCCCCATCCAGCTACTGAAAACGCTCTTAAATGAATTCCTGAGTTCAGAGCAGCCATCTGCATTTCCAACCTACGTGACACCCTCCCAGCAACGCTGCTTGGCCGTATCGTGTGTTCATTACAAACTGTTCTTCAGATATTTTTAACTAACTGTGCTTAGCTGTAAATTCATCGAGAGAAAAGCTGACATAAAAGGCCTTCATCTGAGGAATGTTTGGGTGCACAGCTAACCTAAATACGTATACGTTCCACGTATAAAATGTGAAACGCTGATAAAAAAGCCATGAAACCACGACAATGCCTTATGTGTGCAGGGATAACACGTGTAAATCCTACCTTTGGAAGATCAGCCCTTTATCAGTCAGTCCATTCCACCTTTTTTCCCATAACTTTCCATGGTTCTATTAAGAAAAGCTGTCCAAGTCATAGGGGAAGCCAAAAAGCTGTCCTCTGCCTTCGCTGCATTCTTCTTCCTCAACCCAGAACCTGTCCAGAGCAGCTTTGAGCTACAGGGCTGTGCTGCTTGGATATTTAGAATACCGTGTCTGGTTTTGGGCTCCCCAGATCCAAAACAGACAGGAATCTCCTAGAAGGGGTCCAGTGGAGGGCCATAAAGATGATACAGGGCTTGGAGCATCTCCTGGATGAGGAAAGGCTGAGTGAGCTGGGTTGTTTAGCCTGGAGAAAAGGCTGAGTGGGGATCTGGTACCCACTGTAGGGCACCTCCTTTAGCAGAGGGCTTGGAATCAATGATCTCTTGAGGTCATGTGGACTGATGGAACAGAAGTGCTCCTAAGAAATGAGATGTCCCCAGAGAGAACCTGAGCTTCACTGAGGAGCACAGCAGCATCTGCTGCTCAGCAGGACCCCCAGGCACTGCAGCCATCCCATGTGGAAGGGATGGGGTGGCTCACAGAGCCAGGATGCGGAACAAGAAATAAGAGTCTGTTTCTGGTGTCAGGAAATGAACCTATAGAATAGGAAACAAAGCCGAGGAACTTCTAAATATCATAATGCTAAGCACTAAACTCACTGCTGAAGTTAAGGAAAGCAAGGTCACCATAGATCAGAAGAAGCAGAGGAAGATGGGGAGCCAATGAGAAACAAGAGGAGCATCCTTCCCTTGCTCCATGTGGCACTGCACAAGAAAGGAAAAGCAGGGAATTAAATCAAGCTGGGGCACCTTATACCTCTAAAGGCAAAAGATAAGAATAAAAAACATGCAGATTTCCAGGAATGAAGACCACAGAGAAGAGGATTCTGCTGATTTTAAAACGTATAAAGCATGCAGTGCAGATCTGTGCCACAGCTTTGGGGTTTGGACGGGGCTGGTTAACACAACCCTGTGCTCTCACAAAGCTGAGGGCTCTCAGGCTCTTCCATCCAGCACAAAGGGCTCTTTGCAACTGAAAGGCACACTTCACTCTTGTGCAGAGGCCACTTTTGGAAACATCACATCAAACAGAGCCACGTAGGGAAGTCAGTCATGGGAGGTGAGGAAAGGAAGCACAGCCTGCTCGCCACGAGGAGCTCGGTCACTGTGAAACCAACAGTGCACAGTTGTAACTGAATGAGGACAAAAGCAGAAGTGGGCCTTTCTGGAGCCCAAGCCTCTTCCTCAGAGGCCAGGACACTATTTGCTGCTTAGAGCAGGGGAAGGAAAACAAACCCATGTAGGCTGAATAATCACGTGGTCTGCTTGCTTGTTTCCTCTTGCAGAACTGCTGAACCTTCTTACAGAGCTCAGCTTGGTCTCTGCAGGAGGGAACTGTTTTTCACATGCATGCTTTGCTGTTGAGGAAGTCCCAGTCCTCAGGTCAGCAGGCCTTCACTGGTGTGTCCTGAAGCCTGAAGAACAGCACTGTGTTCAGCATTCACCAAGCTACAACACCCAGACCACCTCCATCTTAGAACAGAAAGGCATCAGCTCAGTAAAGGGATGGACACCAAAGGGACGAATCAGTTCCTCCTGCCTTAGCGTAGCAAGGAACTCAAACAGTTTTTAACCCTACCTCCTAACTTCCCAGGTACAAAACTCTGCTATTAAGAACAGATATTTCCACTCACTTTTGGTGAATTGCCCCAAGTTTCTCCATTGAACCAGCTTGCTGCTCTGTCTTCAGTACCTAAGATGGGTCCTGGGACTCCCAGATCCTCAGGTGGAAAAGCAAGACTGTGGGAAGGATAAACCCCCAGTGAACCTCAAACTTGTGCAGGATTTCTGCTCCAGCTGGATGGGTGTAAATCTATGGGGCCCAATGGGATTTATTCCAGGGTACTCAAAGAGCTGTCTGATGTCATCATGAGATGATTCAGAGAGGTCCCAGTCTACTGGAAGAAACACATAGATGTGGCAGTTAATGACATGAGAAGGCTTGGTGGGGACAGGCTGACAGTTGGATTTGACCTTAGAAGTCTTTTCCAACCTTAATCATTCTGTGACTCTATAGAAGCTGGCAAACATTGGCCCAGTTTTCAAGAGGGGGCAAGAAAGAAGACCCTAGTAATTAATTACAGGCCTGCCAGTCTCACCTTGGTGCCTGGCAAAACACCTGGAAGACAACGCAGCCATTGGTCACAGCCAACATGGGTTCACGAGGGGAAGGTCCTGTTTAACCAATTTAGCCTTCCTACATGATGGGCTGCCCACCAAACTGACCACGGAAAGCCAGCTGATGTCATCCTTTTGGGTTTTAGCAAGGCTTCCCAGCATCCTTCTGGATAAATTGCCCGGCATACAGCTAGCCAAAAAAGTGACTTGGTGGGTGAGCAATTGGCTGATGGGTTGGGCTCAGGGTTTTGTAGTCAGTAGGGTTACGTTAAGCTGGTGGATGGGGTGGATCACTCTGCTGGGGTTCTGCAGGGCTCCATTTTTGGGACAGTTCTCTTCCATGCCTTCATCAATGACCTGGATGCAGGACTGGAAGGCATACACCAACTAAGTTTGTGTACAACAGGCAATTGAGGGTCAGGG